ACAATTATTGATAGGTATGAATTTAGTGCTGTCATTCTGAGATCTCTTTTTGTGTGTTGTTCATAGTTTCTTTTTCTCCTCAATTTTCTGTGCTGAGTAGTTTTTCTTTATATAGTTTTTCATCGTTTTCTTTGTTGTAGATTTTGTGTTTGCTGTGTCTTTATGTTTTTCTACTTTATTTTGATTTGTAGGATTGTTAGATTCCTTTGTGGTTACCTTAATATTTACTCCTATTTTTCTAAGTTTATACCAGTCTTTTATTACTTTATATTGCCTTAACTTCCCCTCCATATAGAAAATCAATGTCTCTATTTTTTAAGTTTTTTTTGTTTTAATATTATCCTTTTTTTACATATTGATATGTTTCCCTATTTTCTATGTTTTAGCTTTGATGTATTTTTGATTTCCGTTATCTGAGTCAATATTTGGTTGCTCTGTCCTGTATTCTAGTCTTGTGTTGTTAGCTGGTGTTATTATCTAACCACAGGACTCCCTTTAGTATTTCTTGCAATTTTGGTTTGGTTTTTGCAAATTCCCTGAACTTGTTTATCTGGAAATGCCCTGATTTCACCATCATTTTTGAGAGACAGTTTTGCTGGATATATAATTCTTGGCTGACAGTTATTTTCCTTCAAGGTTTTATATATGTCATCCCATTGTCTTCTAGCCTGCATGGTTTCTGCTGAGTAGTCCATGCTTATTCTAACTGACTCTCCTTTGTAGATGACTTTTCTTTTATCCCTAGCTGCTCTTAAAATTCTCTCCTTATCTTTGGTTTTGGTAAGTTTGATTATAATATGTCTTGGTGACTTTCTTTTGGGATCTACCTTATGTGGGGTTCGATGAGCATCTTGGATAGATATCTTCTCATCTTTCACGGTATCAGGGAAGTTTTCTGTCAACCAATCTTCAACAATTTTCTCTGTAATTTCTGTTATCCCCCCGTTCTGGTACTCCAATTACTCGTAGGTTATTTCTGTCCATAGAGTCCCACATGACTCAGAGTTTCTTCATTCTTTTTAATTATTTTATCTGATTTTTTCTCAAATAGGTTGGCGTCAAGAGCTTTATCTTCAGTGTCACTAATTCTAACTTCTACTGCCTCAATTCTGCTCCTATGGCTGTCTATTGAGTTGTCTAATTATGAAATTTTATTGTTAATCTTCTGGATTTCTGATTGCTGTCTTTCTGTGGATTCTTGCAGCCTATTAAATTTGGCATTATGTTCTTGAACAACTTTTTTAAGTTCTGCTACTACTGTGTCTGTATGTTCCCTGGATTCTTCTGCATTCTGTTGAATTTCCTTTCTTATTTCTAGAAGAGTTCTGTATATTAATCTTTTGTATTCTGCCTTTGGTAATTCCAAGAGTTCTGTTCCTCTAGAGAATTTATTGATTCTTTATTTTGGGAGCTTGCTGAAGCCATCATGGACTGCCTGTTTATGTGACTTGATATTGACTGTTGTCTCCAAGCCATCAGTAATTTATTATAATTTTATTTTGTATTTGCTTAGTGAGACCTAGCTCATTTTGTTTTGTTTTGATATGCCCAAATAGGCTGCTCGTGTGCACTAGTTTGATTTTTGACACCTTTGGATCTCTAACATCCTGTCACCACGTAGTTAGTTCTGTAAATAAGTATGTGCACACAGGAGTCCGTTAAATTTTTCTATATAGGTTCAGCTCGGGTGTTCAGTCAGTCACCAAGTGTGTGATGCAGGCTTTCACCCCCAGTCCTAGAGAGGCATGGGTGATTGGTGCAGGCAGTGGAGTCTGGCTGTGGTAGGGGATCACGTGCGGAGCCAGGCAGGGGGCTGATGGCTGCCCGAGAGTCTGAAAGGAAAGCGTGTCCCTATTCTCTAGGGTGAGTAGGTAGGTGAGTTTTGCAGCCGGACTATGAGCACCCCACTCTGTTGGCTGTAAAGACTCAAGGGCACCACTTTTTCTTGAACTCCTGTAGCAGGTGACTAGGCACTTTAGGTGCTACCACCAGTCCTCAAGCTCCTGCTGCAGATCGATAAGAGTGCCTACTTAAGGGGCTGTTTCAAGGGTCACAAATCTGCTAGTTCACAGCTGAAGCAGTTGAAGTTAAACTTCAGATGTTTGCCCTGTTGTACTGTGGCAGTGACGACTAACGCTGTTGAGATGGGTCCCCACAAGTCTAAACAGGGGTGTAAGGCACTCAGAGTCTGTGGACGATACCTGTGGCCAGCAAAGGAGCTGTGCCGACCCTGTGTTCCTGGCCTAGGGGAGCCAGCAGCTTATTTGTTCCCTCTCCAAGGCCAGGAGAATGGGTCAGGGTGCCTTTTGGGATATACTTCCGGCCCAGCGGACTCCAGGTGCAGAGTGCGGAGGGAGGAGGTAAAAGGGAGAGAGGTTTTTCCCAAATGGGCTTTTTTTTTTAAATCCCCGAGAAAGGGTGCACGCATGTACTCATCCTAGCCTCTTGGGAGCTGCTCTTCACTGGTTCGGAGTGTCCAAGCAGAATCTTTGCTGCCGGGTCTCTCGATGTGGAAACTGCTTCCCGAGTGCATGCACTGCCTGCTTCACCGCGGACAGTGTGGCTGTGGCACTGCAGTTTCATCGCTGCAGCCCTTCTCACCTCTTCCAAACGGTCTCCCTCTCCCGTATCACTCCGACAGATTTCTTAACCTTGCCTTGTTCTGGGCTGCCAGATATTCACATAGAATCAAATCACTTGTTTTTCTAGGTCTTTGTTGTAAGAGGGATATAGGAAGCTTCTAACTATTCTGCCATGTTGACAGTGCCTCTCCCATATTTTCAGGTAAGTAGACTGACATCATGACTTTTAAGGGTTCAACTGTATTACATTGTATGCATGCACCATAATTTACTTAATTAGTATCCTAGTAGTGATGGGCATTATGTTGTTTCTAGTAGCATCTATTAAAAGAAAGGGAGCCAGGAACATTCTTGTGGGTCTCTCCTCACTCTTTGTTATTTTCCTTAGAGTTAACGCCTAGTAAATGGGCTTGTTGGGGCAAAGGCAAATAGGTATTTTTAATTTTGGTAAATAAGGTTGTACCAATTTAAACTTTAGATCAGTAGTGCATGACAGTAATTGTATCCCCACTCCCCTATCAACACTGACAGATAAAAAAAGATATCTTTGGAAGTTGAACATTTTTTTCATCTGTTAATTGGACTTTTATTTTTTGTGGTTTAACTACTAAAACCAGTTGAGTTGAGTCGATTCCAACTCATGGCAACCCTGTGTGTGCTCCATGGAATTTTCAATGGATGATTTTTTTATGGAAGTAAAAATCGAAGTAGATTGCTGGGTCTCTCTTTCAAGACGCTTCTGGGTATACTTAAACCTCCAGTCTTTCAGTTAGCAGCCGAGCATATCAACTGTCTGCATCACCCAGGGATCCTATCCCCCACTGCCTACCCATTTCTTAAATAATCTTTTCCTCACTTAATCTGTATATCTTACAAGTTATCACTGAGACTTTTGGAGTTAGATAGCCTGGCTCCAACACAAACCAGTAGTAGATCTGCATAACTTTGGAAAATGGAGATAATAATTGTACCTATCTTACAGAGCTATGATTAAATAATACAACCTGAAAAAGTACTCTAGCGTCTGACACGTAAGTCCACAGTAAACCTGAGCTATTATTATTATATTAGAGTCCCTGAGTGGTGCAAATGGTTAACACTCAGCTGCTAACCCAAAGATTGGAGGTTTGAGTCCACAGAGCAGCACCTTGGAAGAAAGGCCTGGTGATCTACAGCTGAAAAATCAGCCACTGAAAATCCTAGAGTACAGTTCTACTCTGACACACATGGGGTGAGTCAGAATCTACACCATGGTAACTGTTTTTTTTTTTTAGAGTATTACTATTATATTAAGCACCTATGCATACATACGAATTTCTGAATTCTCTATTCTGTTCCATTGACATATCTTGCCACATCTCACATCCTTAAAATCCAGTAACATTCCATTACCAACTCAGTGTTTTCTAATGACTTTTTCCCTCATTTCATTCAAAAAGTCATTATCTCACTTGCTTTCAATCATAACTGGAGCCCGAAAACGTTAACTTTGAGGATAAAAAGAAGCTGTGCCAGACAATGTAGTAAGAATAAGAACCAAGGCACTAAATGTGAGGCGAGGGGGATGTCTGTTTTCTCTACCATCTATTTTGAAAGGCTGACTGCCTACCTTATTTCAGCCCTCAACTCAGTGACGTTTTCAAAAGCTAGTTTACAACCTGAAGATATGTGGTTCACAGTGTTAGCCAGAGTAGGTCTTGAACTTGAGATAACTACCTGACTGAGACGTGGAGCAGGAGGTGTGGACAGGAGGTGTGGACGCAGGGAGGGGTTCTCTCCTGGGCCCTAGGTCCTGACCTGGGAGTTCCCTCGAGGTGAGCTGAGCTGACTCGCCACTTCAGGGCTGATGCTGCAAAGCTTGACCGCAGGCGATTTCAGGACCCCTTACGTTGGCACCCACGGGCACGGCAGCAAGCAGGTAGGAGGGCAGGGGTGGCGGCAGGAGAACCACCAGAGCCCTTACAGATGGAAGAGCGGGGCAACAGCGGGAAGAGAGAAGAAGAGGCGCGAAAGGACTTGAAAAAACTCCAGAGACGCTGGGTTGGGCGGCGGTGAGGGAAACCGGTTTCCTGCCCCAACCACTCGCGTCACTCTGGCCCGTCGAGGCCAGGGCCCAGTCCCGGATTTTCCGTTCCTTCCAGCTTGGGGGCGAGGGCTGTCTCTGCGGCTCTCCAATGCCCTCCGGGAGCGACGCTCGAGCATCCGCATTCCCGCCGCCGCCACCCGCGGCAACCTGAGCTCGCTTCCCTCCTCCCTCTAACGGCTTCCTACCGCGCGGCGTCGGCGGCGTCGGTGACGTCAGCTTACGGGCGGGACTTCCTGTTTCGCGCGCCCCGGGGTTTCAAGACAGAGCCCGTTCCGCCAGGCGTGAGGGGTGGGGGGCTGAGGGTTGAGGGTGTCGTCTTGGTCAGAAGTCTGCGGCGGGGCTGACCATGCACTTATGAGGAGGCCAGTTCCCCGAGAAGTCTGGCCTTTTCTTCGCTGCTGCTGCCGCCTCTTCGCCCTCGGAGCTCTCCCAGGATACCTCTGAGATTTCCCGAGTCAGGAGCTCGAGGGCCCGCTCAGCCCTCCTGCTCCCGCTCTTCCTCGTCAGCCTGCGCCGCGAGCAGCCACCCTGACCGCTCCTGGCGCGGTGGACCGGGCAAACATCCCAGGTGTAGGACCGTCGTCCTTAGCCCCAATGCCTCCGCGAGAAGAGTTAAATGTGTACCCGTGGTTGGAGCTGTGGAGGTGTCCCCCGGTGGAAAGTGCAGCCAGAACACCACTCGCTGTTAAGTTTTATGTGCGCTCGTTGCACACCGTGTGTGAGTCTGGTATGTAGCCTTTCTTTCTCGGGACGGAATCTTTTCTGTATTTTGGAAAACTCATGTTTTTTTTTTTTTTTATTCCGAATCCTTTCTTGTTATTTTTCTTCAAGTGATTGGAGCACGCGTTAGAAAAGTAGGCTGTACCACGGGTTTTTGTAGCCAATTAAGTACACGCGAAACTATGGAGCTTTTTGATGCATTCCTTCGTGGTGTTTGTGTAGCCAGTTTAATAATTGACTAAACGAATAATAATTCCAGTTTAATTTGTGATGAGAAAGCCATGCTTCCATTATCCATGGCCTTGAAAACAATTTTAACGGTGATATTGACTGTCATTCCTGATGTCTAAAATATATTAAGTGTATGCCAGGTTTAAATGGGCACTTTGGTAAACGCTTAGTGTCCAAATTTTGACCATATTAAATGGGCACTTTGCTCTTAAAAATGCCCACTGCCAAGTATTTTAAAAGCCTTGATTCACATTAGCTGTACTGGTTAAGCTATTCCATAAAATCTCACAGATGTCTAGTATAAGAAGAGACTTGTGCTGAATTGTTTTTTTTTACATATGATGTGGGTCATGATATGTTCAGGCTATTGGCACAAAATACTTGAGTAGTTGTTGAACTGACTATATTGTTAAAGCAGTGCGTCTGTTGCCAAGCAACATCACCATAAACAAGTTTAATATTCAGTTAGAATGTAATTAAATGTATGTATCCTACAATTATCTGGATTCAGAATTCTCTAAATTCTTAGGTTTAGCCTGTAGGTGGTTACAGTTAATACTTTTCTTTCTTATTGAGATTTGACTTCAAACTCATTTTGTTTAGAATTATTAGAATGCTTTAAATTTCAGTGTTGTACAGGACTCTCCTGAGAGTTGCAAATGGATTTGAGTTGCCCTTTGGGTGTTTAGGAAAGAGTATCCTGGATAGTCCCCTTATTTTGAGGATTTTCTTTTCTAACCAGTTGAAGTACGTAGGCTGTATTCAGGAATTTTCTCAAATAATAGAGTAATATCAATTTAGAGTTTAGGGGAATTGAAACACTGATTATTGACAGGTAGTTTTTAAATCTTGGTTTAGCCAATAACCTCACTGTTTGTCCACTCATTGAACGTTTAATGATGTAGTTTGTAAGTCAGTTTTCAAAGCACTTTTTCATGATCTTTTGAACGCAATAACTTTAAAGTAAGAAAGTAGATGAGACAATTTGAGACACAGTGAGACTGAATGACTTCTTTGAAATTTAGCTGCTAGTAGTTGGAACTCGAACTTTGGTGTTCTTTATATCATACCCGTACTATATTACTAAAATCAGTAAAGTAGACTTCATTTTAGTTTCCTCCGCCTTTTCCTTTCCCATATACTGATGTTGAAGTAATGAAATGTTCAGTAGTTGGGCAAGACAAGTAGAGAAGAAAAATCAAGAATGACTGGTGTGATAAAAATTGTTAGTAACCAGAAGTCAGCATTTTGTCATAGGAAGTTCTAATTCAAGGAGTGTAGAAGAATGAAATCTTAATGGAAAGATCAGTTAATTGTTGGAATTCTCTCTCTCTTTTTTTTTTTTGTATTTTCTACTGTTTGTTTCAAGTAAATGAGTTTTAACTTTGTCATGCATAATAGATTCAGTAAGTAATTTTCTCAAATTGCCTAATTTATGTGTACTTTTAGGGAATGTATACGTGTATCTATGTAAAAAAAAAAAAATTGGAGGTACTGTTTCCTACTGATTAAAGTTCAGATTTCTTAATCTGAACTCTTCAAAATCTTCTTTCACTCTGTGTTATCAAGCTTATGTTCTTTATGGAAAAGCTGGGCTCTGGCCAGTCTGGTCTCTTCACTATCCTCTAAGCCTGCTACACGCTTTCTCCCTTCCATACCACTCTTTATGTCATTCTACCTTCCTGACCTGATTTCTTCCCTTCTTTCTTAAAATCTAAATTGTACTCTTTCTTAAAAGTTCAACTCCACCACGACCTCTGAAACCTTCTAGTATTTGTCAGTCACACTTATTTGATACTATACTTTATATTGTATTGTTCTATTTTTTTGTTTGTGTTGTCTTCCCAACTAGATTGTTAGCTCCTAAAGAGCAGGGCACTAGATCTCAATGAGTTGTATGTTTCCTTAGTCTCTTCTACATAGAAGTTGCCAAATAAATGTTTCTTAAAGATGACAGATGTGCAATTCTACTTTTTTCCCCCTTCCATAGTATGGTGGAATTAAAAGAAGATTGTTGAGAGATGAGAGTAAATGAAGGGCAACTGTAGACCTTAAGAAAAGGGATTAAAGAGAGGGGATTCATTAGAATCAGAAGGAAAGCTTCTGTTCTTAGAAAGTGAATGTTTGAGAATTTCCCATGACAATGTCAACAGTAAGGATTCCCTCAGGAATGCTTACAGTACTTCCAAGTAGGTTTGGGGAGTTTGATTAGTTTCCTGGTTCTTCCTTAGTAGAAACTTAGTTTTAAACATCTCAGTCAATATTTCTCTCCCTTCTTCCCTCCACTCCTCCTTTCTGTTTCTCCCTCTTTTCCCCCCTTCCCCTCCCTCTCTCCTTCCATCCCTGTCTTCTCAGTTCCTCATCTTACCCCTTTCCATCTTACTTTTTGACCTGATCGAGAGTTTTAATTGTGAAATTATGTCAATACTTTTATGTGACCCTCATAAATTCGCACTTCTTTTAAGTATATATTTTTTTCTACCAAGTCTGCCCTTTTTGAGTCATGAAGAGATCACTGACTGTCAAGTCTAGTACTCTTTCTTTTGAGTTTAACTGAGCTATAATCCAAGATGAAAGAAATTAAGAAAGTCAGGAAATGCCCAGTTATTACTTTTCTGTGAACTGTGACTTCGAATTGTTTTGAAGGAGGAAACTAAAACTAACCATTCTCTTGTGGAAAGGACATGTCATTCTCAAGATATGTCTTTCTTTAAAAATTCCAGGTAAATTTTATAGTCTTGCTGTAAATCCTGTATCTGATGCTTATGAAAAAGAGTTACTTCAGTTGAAGGTATAAAAAAGTGATGTTGAGTCTCAGAGTATCTCAGAGTACTTTTATAAATCTTGGTTTGATTCAGTTGTTTCTTAGTGAGTTTGCCATCCTAGCTTCTGAGTTGTTGCTCAGTAACACAGTTGCAGTATAACATAGCAACCATTGAAAACAGAAGCACCGGACTATAGGGATTTTCCTGATGAAGGTGCAATGCCTATCTGTAGTGTTCACATTCAGTCTCTCAACGGATTCATATTTTGGTGTTTGGCAGACATTTGAGATATTGTTAAGCTCAAAGATCATACATTATATGTTTTTAAATATATTTTGTAGAATGATGATAATATAACTTTCTGCACATTGTTTTCACATACAGATGCACAATAAGTAAGTATTGGATTGAATTTCATTATGTGAGAAGGATATGTAAAAGGCTTGTTCAGTTAAAGACTGGCCTATTCTGGGCAGAAAAGTTATTAATTAATAATTAACATCAGAGTTCTCCACAATTGATGAAGTCAGCCAGAGCAGGGGTGGATGAAGCTAAAATGGTTCTTAATAACATTTTTGTATTATTTCTGGAGGTTCATGGAAAGCTTAGATCAATAAGCTTGATTTAATAGGTACTATGATTTTGTGGGAAGAGAATTGTGACTCAGGAGACCAAGACTTGACTGAGTGAATCACTTAACCTTTCTTGGCCTGTTTTCTCGTTGGAAAAAATAAATCTCTGAAGGTTCATTTCAGGAATTGTGTGCTTCCAATTTAAAGTAATTTTTATTTCTCCTGTTCATTGACTTAGTATTCGAGTGCCTGTTATGTGTTTTGAACTATGCTAGGCTCTGGGGAGATAGTGAATAAGACAATGTTAAGTCTTGAGTAGCTTATTATCTGGTGAGAGAAATGGGATAAAGTAGTTATTTTTAATATAACATGGTTAAGGATAAATAAGGGTGTTATGGGGGCATGTAGGAGGAACACGTGACCTAGAACTCTACTGCATCAAGAAGGGCTCTCTTAGTGGAGAAAGTAATATATAAACCAAGTCATGAAGTATGTAAGAATGAGCTAAGTGAAAAGGGTTAGGGGCCTGTGGGTTTATGGAATATACTTAACAAGTAGTTTACGTGAATATACTGAACAAGTAGTTAAGTATATTCACAGCACAGATGAGATTGGACAATATGCCAGGATCAGATCATAGGGGGTGGGGGTGGGGGTGTTGTATGCCTTTTTGAGGAATTTGGAAATTAGTCCTTAAAATGCAATACGAAGACATTTGTTTGTTTATGATGTATCTGAACCTTCACTATGTGCCAACTACTATGGTAGGCTCTGGGATCAGCTCTAAGAATTGAACTTGCCATATTGGGGCTTATGCTCAAGTGGGGAATCAGCTCAATCTCCTACGTATTTTAACTCAACTCTTCTCTGAATGTTTGCTTCACCTTCTTGCTCTAACTGAACCCTGGCTATCCTTGGGGACACTGCTTTCCTTGTTGCCACCACAACTGGAGGTTTTATTTCCCTCATCTAAAATACCCCAGGGCTTGAACAAGGGATCTTCATGAACCTCAGCTCCTTTGAAAATTGTTTCATCAGACTTAACTATATTATTCCTTCTTTCTGTGATCTGCCGGCTTTCCAGTCACTTCCTCTCTTTCAGTGAAGACTTTATCACCCAGCTCATTGTCTTCCTCTCCACTATTACTCCTGTCATCACTCTTAGTGTAGATCAGAGGTTGGTAAACTACAGACCATGGACCAAATGTGTTACTTCTACCACCTATTTTTGTAAATAAAGTTTTATTGGAACACACCCATGTTGATTCATTTACGTACTGTCTATGGTGGCTTTTGTGTTACAGTGGTTGAGGTAAGTAATTGTGTCAAGAACTGTATAGTCTGTAAAGCCAAAAATATTTGCCTTCTGGCCATTTATAGAAAAAGTTTGTCGACCATTCATATATATAATCAATCCAACATTCTGGAATCTTGGTTTT